GACACGGTGCCCCGCACAGCGCGCAACTTCGCCCAGCTGGCCAGCACCGGCGCCGAACTGGGCGGCCAGAGAGGCGGCTACGAGGGCAGCCCCTTCCACCGCGTCATCAAGAACTTCATGCTCCAGGGTGGGCGTTGCGTCGGTCAGGCGGACTGAGGGCCCCCCCCCCCCGACCCGGGCCCGATTGGGGTCTCTGGGTTGGGTCGGCGACCAGTGGAGGACCATGAGATGTGACCTCCGACGTGGTTTGGGGTCCACGTTTTTGCCCCAGGGCGTTGCCCTGCCACGACTTGACCCCAGCGTTGGTCTCCGGCCGGTGTTGGCGGCCAGCTTTGGGCAGGAACTGGCCGTGCCCTCAGCGTAGTTCATTGGCCGACGTGTCGGGTTGGGGCCGGTCTACGGCTGGTGGTTTGGCGGGCGCGACTGGCGTAACGGTATCTGCGCGACCCTCTGTGCGGCCCGTCCGCCGAACCGCTGCCGCTCCCGCCGCTCTCCATTCACCCCTCCCCCTCGGCTTGCTCAGGCGGAGACTTCACCAACCGGGACGGCACGGGCGGCTTCAGCATTTACGGCCGCTCCTTCGAAGACGAGAACTTCAAGCTGCATCACACGGGCCCTGGCATACTGAGCATGGCCAACTCTGGGCCCGACACCAACGGCAGCCAGTTCTTCATCACCACTGTCCCCACCAGCTGGCTGGACGGCAAGCACGTGGTGTTCGGAAAGGTAAGGCCGCTGGCCGCGGCGAGCTGTCCCTCTCGGGCAGGCCGCAGCAGCGCGACTCTCGCCAGCGGTCGCGGTTGGATGTCGGGGTCGATGGCCGTGAGGCTATTGCCTGTTGCGAAGGGAGACGAGTTTCCCGAGCTGTTCTGTCTATGCTTGCCAGTGCTGTATGGGCCTGGTGGTATTCGCTCTGGTTCACTTCTGAGGGCGACTTCCTGACAAGACGCGTTTTTCCTCGCCAGGTCACCCGGGGCATGGATGTGGTGCGCAAGATCGAGTCTCTCCGTACCAACAGCCGGGACCGGCCCGTCCAGGACGTGCTCATTGCCAAGTCGGGCCTCGTCGACTCGGCGCCGTTCGAGCTGGACCTCAGCGCCGCCTCCAAGTAATGAGCGGCGCGAGTGCGTCTGGCCGCTCGGCGGGTGGTCCCTGGCGGGGCCGGCGCTTCGCTGGGCGACCGGCCGCCGCCCGCGCCTCCGCCTTGGCTCGCAGGGCACGAGATGCTTATCGCTGCCGGGTCGTTCGGAATCTCCCGCTCTCAGCTCTTGGTTATTGACGACGGCATTCCGTGACGGGGAACTGACATCATTCAAAACAAAAAACGTGTAAATACATGATTTACCACTGGGCTTGTGTCGAAGTGATGTCGTCGTAGATCTTTGGCTGCGGTGCATATTAACGCATGCATGTGGTCTCCTCCCTTTGCATGCTGCAACGTTCCTGGCGCTGCTGCGAGCTTGACTGAGAGGTCCCATGCCGCTGCGATGTTGACGTGCCACCTACATGGCGCACTCATGCGTTGCGCTATCGGACGGCGGCATTTGTGATAGCAGACTTGACTAATCCCCCATACCAGAGGGTTGTCTACCCAGACGTGGTCTCCGTAAAGAGGTAATACGCAATCTATGTGTCGTCCATGTAAACGGCGAGACTTCACCGCGTTCAGTACCGGAATACTTGCCTTGTGCGGAATCAGCTGAAACACGAGCGGCGTAGATCGTTAGTAGCGCTTGGGTGGCGTAGGCATGGAGCATGCTGATGTTATAACGGCGTCGCGACATGGGCCGTTGTGGTGGGCGCTAGGCCGTGTTGTTACTCGATTGCGCTGAACTTGGGCCCTCGTGCAACGCGACCCCAAGCTCAGAGACATCTTTCGAAATCTAAAAACTTGCTGAGCATGAATACTCGCATTTGTGAGTCGCCTGGTGAACTGGCGGCGGAGGCAACAGTCGGCTGTGGGAGCGTGTACTGAATACTCTATGGCCCTCCCCCAGTTGTAGCATGAACACTGCCAACAACGCGTCTGTGATACATCCTGCCTGGAACGTGGGACCACTGTTGCTTTTCTGGAATCCCTCTAAGCGCCGTACTACCGCCAAATGTCAAATACATGGCTCTGGCAGGCTATATGTGTAGACCATGGTCTCACGCTTGAAAGAACTCGCCGAGAGGACCAACATATATTTCGGCGGTGTTCCATACGCCAGAGGCGGATGGCCCGCGCCAGCGCTCATTCTGGTGCGGTGAGGAGCCAGCTGACGCTCGCTGGCTTGTGGGCCGACTTGTGCTCGGTGCCGCTGTGATGCTGCATTGGTTCTCGCCTTTACGCAGAGGCCTTCGACTGGAGGGAATGACAACAGGACTGGCGATGAGGGCCAGCTGTGGATGTTTTTGAGCATTTGTCGCCTGTGCGGAGCATGGGAGAGAATGTGACGCCTTTAGCTACCTACCTGAGCCGATCGTAGTTCGCTCCGCGCGCTGTTTGTAGGCCTCATGTAAGATGTTCGCACCACATATCGGTCTTCTTGAGTGACAGTGAGTGACTCACTTGGGTGAGTGAGTCTTCTTACGCTGATATCCGCTCTCGCGAGATTGCTTAGTGAGCGTGCGACGCTTTCAAATCTGGGTTTAGTACAAGTATGAAGAAACAGTTTTCTATCCTGGTAGCATCTCAACACCGGAGAAGAGGCAGCAATGCTGTTTCAATTCTGTTAATGCGCTGCGCGCGTCAAGGTGGTCTTGGTCGGCTTTTTCCGAACCACTACCTCGACCTACTTTATTACGGGTCACCCATCGTCGCCGCCTCTCGCTGCATAATCAACATGCTGCTGATCTCGCGGGTAATGGACGTCTCCCGATTATTGTCTGGGGCCCCGGTTCCCAGACCGTTCTGCCAGTCAGAAACGCTGGCCAGGCGTCCGCCCGCGTCCGTGCCGTCCCAGCACGCGCCCCGGTCCCCAAACCGTTCTGCCAGTCAGAAACGCTGGCCAGGCGTCCGCCCGCGTCCGTGCCCACCCAGCACCCGCCTGATGCCGGGAAGTGAGCCGGCGCGCCGCAGGGCCGGCCGGCCGTGCCTGGTTCGGTCAGCTGACCCTGGACCGGTCGCGGCCGGCTGCCCCGACCGGTTGCCCTCCGTTGCGGTCTCGGGGAGGGCAGTGAACCGGGCGCCAGACGGGCTCACCTCGGCGCGTGGGATGGGCTCGAGGTCACTGTACCTTCCGCTGCACGAAAGGAGGCTCCGCCCCTGAAGGTGAGGCATGGTTTCTGGACACGCTCTTGATTACTCCGGAAACCATCCAATAGCGCTGCTTTTTGTTTTGGGAGATTTTGGGAGTTAACGGAAGCAGGCTTCTGCACCCCTCACTCGACCTGCGGCGCTATTTGATCGTAAGGCAACGCCTAAGACACAGTGCGCTGAAAGTTATCGAAAGGGCACATTAAAGGCACGCTTCGCCGAGAGAAATTCGTCATGAACAGCGCCTTGCCGCGTTGGCAGCTGGATGTGGGTAGCGGATTGGCGGATGTGCTTGGTTTGACCCACGTTTCATGAAAGTAAGATAGTTTAACTCCCACGGGTGTGACGGTGCCGTTAACTTGTGTAGTATGGACGATAGGGAGCCGCGCGGCAGACTGTGCCCAACGGCGTGATGACTCGACGCTAGCCGCGTGTGGTGTCCAGCCTGTCAGGCGTAAGTTTCAATACCGCTTAGGCATGCCGCTTTCATAGCATGCCACGCAAAAACTGACACCTCCAGGGGCGCAAACTAACACCTCCAGTGACTTGGGTCGACTCCTGACGAGGTGACGTCCGAGTCAAGACGTCATCGAGCCTTGTTCGGCGGCCGTCTGGTTCGCATTTCGTAGTGACCGGCAGAAACCTGACCGTGGAGTATTCGTAAGCCTCGTTCGGAGGCGAGGACCAGGTACGACACCGCCCGTTTGTGAGAACGCTCTCGGATTTCGAGATTATGTCAACTTATGTAAATAAACACGCGATCGTGGTGCATGCATGGTCACAAGGACGTTGCGCTCCCTTCGGCCCCCTGTGTTGCGTTAGCTGCTTTCACGAGCAGCCAACATACCCAACTGCCTACTCTGGACGAATCACTGTTGGCCTCGTTGATATCGCTGCATAGTGTTGTCTGGCTGACGGCACATTAGCCAACTGGCGTTCTTTGATATTCAGGTTGAATTTGGAATTTGAAGGAGTACCTTTTTCCCACCCCACCTCTTTCCCCTCCCCTCCCCCAACTTCGGCAGAGAAATGTGTGAGATATGTGGATAATTTTGTATTCGTGTGGAGGTGATGTAGTTTCAGCCAGATCATCTGGCTCACATCCCCCACCCCGCTCTCAAATCCGATGTTGCAAAGCCTCCGCACACGTCCTTACAGTGGTTTTCACTAAGCGCTTGGCGATGTGTGCTGCCGCCCAGTCAGCTGTATCTACGGCTGGCCGGCCGCCGTCGCCCCGTCCCCAGCGGCGCAGCTCTCCGGCCGCCTCCACCGCGGCTGACCATGACGTCACAAAGGGGTGGCATTGGCCTCGTGCATGGAAGGTTACCTGGTCCGGCCCCCGGCGTCTGGACGGATGCAAGGGCGGAGAATGTCGAGATAACTGGTGGGGCAAAGCCGACAGAGCGAGTATTTGCAGAGATGGAGAGGGAAAATGTTGGAATTGTGCTTGTTTTGAGGCTGGCTGGTGCGGCGGGCGTCACAGCGGCCAGCCCGTGCTCGCTGTGAGCAGCTCCCGGCCTGGCCGTGCTCACTCGGCCTGGCCGTGCTCGGCTGTGAGCAGCTCCCGGCCAGGCCGTGCTCGGCTGTGAGCAGCTCCCGGTCTGGCCGTGCTCGTCTGTGAGCAGCTCCCGGCCTGGCCGTGCTCGTCTGTGAGCAGCTCCCGGCCTGGCCGTGCTCACTCGGCCTGGCCGTGCTCGGCTGTGAGCAGCTCCCGGCCAGGCCGTGCTCGGCTGTGAGCAGCCCCGGCCAGGCCGTGCTCGGCTGTGAGCAGCTCCCGGCCAGGCCGTGCTCCTCGGCCTGGCCGTGCTCGGCTGTGAGCAGCTCCCGGCCAGGCCGTGCTCGGCTTGAGCAGCTCCCGCAGGCCGTGCTCGTCTGTGAGCAGCTCCCGGCCTGGCCGTGCTCTCGGCTGCGAGCAGCTCCCTGCGGCCGTGCTCGGCTGCGAGCAGCTCCCGGCCAGGCCGTGCTCGGCTGTGAGCAGCTCCGGCCTGGCCGTGCTCGGCTGGAGCAGCTCCGGCCTGGCCGTGCTCGCGGAGCAGCTCCCGCCAGGCCGTGCTCGTCTGTGAGCAGCTCCCGCTGGCCGTGCTCGGCTGCGAGCAGCTCCCGGCCTGGCCGTGCTCTGAGCAGCTCCCTGCCTGCCGCCTGCACTCGGCCCTCCCGCTGCCGGCCGCTGACCTTCAGTGGGCGCGCCTGCCCCATTCAGCCAGGAACAACGGACAGGACGGAGTTTGGTGGGTTGGTAGTCATATGTCTGCGGCGTGGCGACCGATGGCCAGCGGAGAGCAGAACGCTGGCGGGAGACAACGGCGCTAGCTGACTGTAGACGCTGGCTGAGGTTCCGAACGGAGGTCATTCAGAGAAATGCTGTCCTGCATTCGTGGCGTAAGGCATGCGCGTTGCTGAAATTGCTTCCGATGTGGATTTCTAATCCAGATGATCTTTTGGTGCAACACAGAAAAATGTATCTCAGTGGTTCGATGAAAAAGCGCATAGAATCTTGATTCCAGTAGATGTCTCGAAATAGACGGCAGTCTGTTTCATTGGAAGCGGTTCGTGACAGCGTAACGCTGGGAAGCTTGCTTGTGCAAGCTACACGTGACCTCTTTTTGGAAGTTGGTGGCAATTGATGGTTTGAATTCGGGCAGGAATTGTGACAGACCGTACCATGTGTTTATTGCCTTGCAGCTCTGACGCTTATTTTTGGAAAAACCGACGGCTTATTTTAGCCTCACCCCGGGTGTCAGCCAAAAAAAAAACACTGCGCACCAAAATGGGAATTGGGAGACCTTTTGACGAAACGGTGATGAATGCTATGAGTCCGAATCTGAGGCCTTTTTTTCTGCATATGCTCAAATGGACCCAAAGCTTGCAGTG